GATGACACTCTGTTTGACTCTGCGTTTGGATCGGCGAGGGTGAGGGAACGCTGGCGATGCACTTATGAAGTCATGCTTTTACTCTCGCTCGTTTCAATGCGTGCCCCAGTGTTGGAAGGCAGAGAGAACAGCAATGGAAGGGCGTTCGTCGAGACTCAAGAGGAGGGGCCGACCTTTCTCTCTTTTTCGTCCGAGCTATCCGCTCACCTCTGCTTGTTTCGAAATCCAGACGGATGGCGCAGCTCATTACGAAGCCTTCTCCTTCTTCACCCCCTCTCCCCTCATCCGCACCGTCCTTCTTCGTCCGTCCGGTCTCTCTCTCTTGAGCCAAGCCATGCCATGCTCTGCGTTGCTCGCTTCTGCTGGGGGTGTGAGAAACATGTCCAGGGACCATGCTTGGCTGGCGTCTGTTCCAACAAGGCCAAAACCATTTATGCTTCAAGAGTTGGGAGGAAAGAAGGTTTCGGAGGGTGTCAAAAAAGCAGAGCTTTGCTGATCAAGGCGGACCGACGAAACCTTGGGATCTTTGGACGTTTGGGCTGAGTGGTGATAAGGTAACAAGGTAGGTGGGTGGTCGAAGCGAAGTAGTCACGTATTGGTGTACCAAAGACAAGGAGGAGATGGAGGAGGATGAGGGTTGGGAGGATCGGGAGGGTGTGAAGGGAAACTCTGACCGCGCCAATACGTACCTCAATCTCAACCTCAACTTCAACTTCAGAAAAGAATGTGCGGAAGGCAAGGCCAGCCATGTGTACGTACCCGTGACAATTCACGGCCCTGTTGCTATTTCCAACTCTTACGCAATGTGAGAAAGGTAAGTAATTTTCGTCCAAGGTACGGATAGAGAGTGCCGTAAATTATCTACCTTACTGTCAACAACACCTACGGGGACGGGACACTTCACCTTGCCGTGAGGGAACAATTGCCGATGGTAGCTCCTCTTCTGCATCTTGCATCGCTCTTACATGACGCTAGCGACGGTTTGATCACGTATGTATGGGCGTTATCTTCGAAGCGCTGGTCTGGAATCGGTAATTGGAAACTGCAGCTTGGATCGTCAAAGCACTTGTCAGACAAACGTCAACAATCTTCCATCACTCGACGACTTGTTACCCTAATCTGGACAAGGATTGAGAGAGACATCGTATCAGTATTGAAGTGATTCCCACAATGTCCAAACACATCACGCTTGGACAGATGCATCCGCGGTCCTCTCATCGTATTGCTTCTTTCTCTCCCTTGCAGCTGTCATGACACCACTACTCAGAACCAAAGGACGAGGTCACTAAGAATCACTGCAGGAAAAACAAGATTTCTCAAAACTCTGATTTCTCGATTCGCCGTTTTGAAGAAGAAAAAAAAAGCAAAATAAAGCCAACGCAATCATCGTCTGCATGAATCCCGCAGGACCCCAAGGGCCGCTCTAGTGTACAAAAAACTGCCGTAACAAGTTGTTTCGGAATAACCCCACGGTTGGGATGTGTTTGTGGTTCGTAGTCATCGCTTCATTTCTGCAAAGGGTGGAAAAGATGCCTTCCCAAGAAGATGAAAGAAATGTTGTAAATGTCCTCCTCTGCACTGCCAGTCGTGCCCAACCACCCTATTTCAGGGATCTAGCATCCAATCCCCTTCGCATGCCTTGGTGATGGCGTCGTTTTTTCCCTCAAAAAGATAGAAGATGAAATGAAGAAATGGAAGAAAGGGCACCTTTCCCCTCCCGAGCAAAACCCCCGCCCCTGCCTGCGCCGGATTTCGCCCCAACAGTTCGCAGCCACCTTAGTCGTATTTGTTCGTGTACGATGAAGATGGGACAAACGGTTTGCCGAAAAGCCCTAACCAAAAAAGACAATGAAACCAAATTTCCCATAAGGGAGAAGCCAACTGAAGCGAAGAACAAAACTGCGGCTTGATGCTGTAGTCTTCTTGTTGCACGGCGGAAGACGCAAAAACTCAAGCAAGAATCAGACACTCCAAAGTTGTAAAGTAATACACTGGTAGAATCAAAGTGTTGTCTTGGTCGGTGCCGAGTTTCTTAGGCGCCGACTCTTGATTCCTCCATGCGTCTCACCAACTCACGCTCACGGGGAGAGCGAGGGTTGGCGTCAATGCCAAGAATGGCAGAGATGCGAGTCTTGTCTTGAGGTCTTTCGTAGCTATCGCGATCCAGATTGTCGGGGCTGGAAGTGGGTGTGATGGGTGTGCTGGCCTGCTGCTGGTTGCAGCATGCACCATTCTGCCATGCCTGCTCCAAAGCAACGGGGCTTGCGCCCGGGCCGTAGTCGTTAGCCACAGCGGCCCAGAAAGAGGCGCGGTGTGCAGTGTAGACGGATTGAAGGCGGTTCATGTCAACGTGTTGATGGCTGACGATGGACTGGGCAGAAGGAAGAGGGCACTCCAGACGCAGGGGTGGCGTAATGGGGAGGCTGCCGGAGATGGACTGGAAGGTGGCGGAGGGGAGAGCCGCGCTGCGAGGCTCAGGGAGAGGTGTGGGATACCCGCGGGTGGGGGAGGCGGTGGGAGGTGGCAGTGTCATGCAGACCGGCTTAGGGAGGATGGCGGGGAGCCTGGGAGAAGCCTCGTGGCCCATGATGCTGGGAAGTTGCATGGGGGCGGGCGAGTGAGGGGCGTAGCTGGTTGAGCTGCCTGGGGGGGAAACCGAACGAGGAGTCGACTCTCGGATCGAAGAAGGCATCGTCGGTTGCATGACAGGTGAGTGGGTGGTGGAAGAGCCAGAAGAGACCGAGGTGGCACGCTGCTTGCGTCGGTTGCTACCGTGGCTAAGCTGGTGGTAGTGAAGGCGACATGCCAGCTCAGTCTTCTTCAGGTGAGCGGCGATGTGCTTGTAAGGCATCTTCTGAAGACGAGTCTGGAGGAGATAGACTTCCTGTGGTACGGTTAGACATTGTGGTCTCACATGTGACTCTGGATCGCAGCAGTCCTAGACTATCCGAGTGAAACATACCTCATCCTCGCTCCATGCTCTGCCTCCTCCGGTTGAAGCCGCCTTGCGGTTCTTGGTAATTCCATATTCATGACGATCCATGGCGTCGGAAGTGGGAGTGTAGGTGGCCGTGTGAGGCGCCAATTGCATCGTGGGAGACATTTTTGCTCGTTAAATCGTTTCGGAACAGTCGATGTTGCGTCGTTGTACCTCTCAGAAGTAGGGTAAACTCTTGTGTCTCTCGGTGGAGAATCTTCACGCGTTATGATGTTCGCGGTGTCCTGGAAGCTGGGTTTGATAAGAAGAGGCAGAAACTTGCTGCCAACGAATCGAAGGTTTGAAAAAGTTGATGGTTGAAGAAAGGTGGTGTCCCAGCCGGAAGCTCGCAACAACGAAGTCGGCCTTTTGCAGATCCGTCAAGGAGAGAGGAAACGGATAGGCGAGTGGGGGAAGGTCCCAAAGAAGTGAAGTGAAGTTCGTTTGTTTGAATAAACCGGATAGGTCAAGATATATTGACAAAAAAGGTGGTGTTCAAGAAGCGTAGTCAAATGAGTGTGTGCAGCCAAGCCAGTTGGACAATGAAGGAAAGTAAAACCCTAGCTGCGGGAGAAGAAAAGAAGGACACGCAACTGCGCTTCAAGAAGACGAAGAAAAGGGATGTTGATGATAAACCCAAGTTAGGTAGAGAAGGTAAACAGAGAGACAAAATCTGCTCGAGATGGGGGGAGAGAGGGAGGATAAAGTAATATTGCAGCCTCAGCCAAAGTTGGACCTGGGCCCCAGTCTCTTCTCAGTTTCTATCTGGCAACTGGCAAGACGAGACAAGACGGGACCAGCTCTACCAGCATTAGACCGTATCTGTCCCCGTACCAGACAAGGCACCACTCACACACACGCCCAAAGAAGAAGAGCGGGTGGGCAGGCATAGCAAACATTGCCTCATCATGTTCGGGCGCTGGTACATGCAGGACAGGGGGTTCGCACACCGTCAAGTCTAGCCCTGTTGCAGATATTCAGCAGTGAAGCCAGCCAGACCCTGGAGAAGATGGGGTGGATGTGACAGAATTAGCAGAGCATAACGTTTGGTCTGATCCGCCTGGCCTGCTGCCATCCCCATTCACTGAAGGGGGAAAAGGAAAGAAAATGTGTGTGTATGTGCGAGAGAGACCCAGCAGACAAGAGAGACAGAGAGAGAAACCAAGACCAGGGCCGGCAACGCTTGTGCAAGCCACACCCTGTTTGACCACACCCCTGTACGTAACTTGTTCGAGGGCAGGGCCAGAAAGAGGAGACGGACGAGGAACAGGCATGGGTGCGAGATTATGGATCCGGTGAGAGACGAACGTGCGTCTCAACCGGCCGCCATGATGGATCGAGAAAGAGAGCAGCCAGACTCAAGTGGCGCCCGCCAATAGACAAGCCAAAGTAAAATGGATGATTGCCCGCAACGAGCTGTAGCCTCGGAGGCTCGGATGCAGGATGAGCATAGACCAAGCCTAGGGCCCCCCAGAGATGGAGCTTTCATTGAAGACTCGGGGAGCAAAACAGAACAAGAGAGATTGGGAAGAAGAGGAGAGAGAGGCTCTTGCAAACCTGGAACATGGTAAAGGAAAGCCACCAAATGCGTGCAGCGTAGCGTCTCCATTGCCGAAAAGAGCGGTGTCGTGCCTCCGATTTGTTTCTTCCCCTTCTTCGTCAAGGGGAGTGAGTGCCTGGGCTCCATGCAGATTCAGTATAGAGCCTCAACTTGGCTAGTTTGTTGCAAGCATCTTGATGACCCGCCAGCTGGTTTTGGTTTCGGCCACGGCACATGGTCGGTGGATCTTGTTCATGACTGATGAGGAGGAGGAACTTTAGAGAATTCGGTCCTCTTTCTCTCTACGGAGTATGGTATTACTGCTGAAGGTAAGGATGGATACTCGTGTTGCGCGCGTGGCAGAGCGCGGCATAGTATGGGGCTTGGGATGGCGTGGCATGGCATCGCCGAAGGCTGTTTTGAAAAGTAATGTAACTTGACTCAGAAAACAAACCATTGATCCCTCCCGAGACCTCGACAAAGTTGACACCGTCACGCTGGGTCGGGTGGCTCGCAACAAGGAAGAGGGTGTTACTATTTGCGGTCGACATCTGGTCTCAAGTCGCGATAAGCATACGTTTGCTCGCTGTCGATCTCGCGGAGGCTTTGGCGAGGATGAGGGAGGGGAACCATAGGAAGGGGAATGGCTGTAGCGTTTTGGGGCTCTGCGTAAGGTTGCAGTCTCGCACTTGCAGAGGGGATTCTTGGAACAACGATAGCGAGGTATTCGTGGGATCCGAACAGGTATCTGTAGGCTGGACAAGGCAGAGGGGGAGAAGCAGGGGCTCTGCGGGTACGCGAGGCATACATTCGCGGCATATGCCCAATTGAGAGGGAAACGGGGTATTGAGCAGGTTGTTTTTCCTCGTCTCGGTCTCGTATGGTATAGCGCGCGTGTACGAAGTATTGTACGTGCGGTGCGGTGCGGTGAGGTGAGGTGCGGACGGTGCGGTGTGCGGTACAGGACGCTTAACTGTGTATTGCGTATCCGTACGGTAGGTTACGATGTGTAGAAGGATGAGGAGAGGACGCGCAGGCTGCATTGCGGCATGGTCGTCGCAACCGCCGGCCGTCGTGGCATGGCCGGTGTACTCGGGATGGTACCTCGAGACTCAAGTGCCGTTTTGGTGAGGAGCAGGAACTGGTACACTAGTGACGGGCGGCGAGCGTTGGTGTTGATGCTGCCGCTGATGTTGTTCAGATTGTTGCAACTTGCGGGCAGTGGTGGTGGTGGTCGTCGTCGTCGTGACGGGATCGTGACCCTGTGTCTGAAGGTTGTGTGAGGATGTCTGTCTGACGTTTGACGGCGGGGTCAAGCGATGGACGGTACGTGTTACAGAGGCGCGCCTGTGACTGCCATTGGCCCGTTTTCGCGGCAGCCCCTGAGCCTTCCTTGCGAGTTGCGCGCACAGAAGGGCAAGGCACGCTAAGCGTCTACTAGTCTGTATTGGGTCAAGTCAGGAACAGAAACCACCATCACCCCGGCCAGCCTCGCAACCGTGACGGGTACGTAGCTACGTACTGGTAGCGTCGATACGTATCGGTTCCCGAGGCAAGTGAGCCCCACCTCACGACCCATCCGCAGTTTCCACCTCATTGCGAACCACCGGTGCGGCGGGGCCGAACACCCCTGTCTACTGTAACCGTCCTTTTGTTCACAGTGAGTGAATCTCTCCTCTGCCTACGTAGTGTGGTGTCTCCGTACGCAGTTATGGATACACCATTATCACAGTCAGTCAGTCAATTCTCGAGGCTTGAGGCTTGAGGCTCGAGCCTCCTTGACTTCGTCCCACGTCGTCGTCTCCCACTAGGCCCCGTTGCGGCTTGCCGTGTAAGAGCCTCCTCAATGGGAACAATTGCGCCAGAGCCGCTACTACCATAAGGTAGGGAGGGTATCGACGATTCGACAGGCCCAGATGCCAACCCGGCTGTTTGGTTTGATGTCAGGGCTCTCCCCTTCAAGGCTTCAACAGTAGCGCCGTCCTGTCTGGGACACCGAGTATCCTAACGGATATTTACTACCAGTTAAGAAACTTTGCGTAAGAGACATATTCTTGGCTTCGTCGCCCTGGACCATGACACGGCTGACGACTGTATTTGCACGAATAGACTCTTCCCGTGGTCCCATCTGATGATCAACAATTTTGGCACCCCTACCCCGCGCGACCTTGTCGAAGCGATGTGATGTGATGGCGTGTCCAGCCCAGGTTTCTGGTTTCTGGTGTCCGGTCTCCTTGTAAGGTGCGAAGTAGAAGCATAGGCGTTGGCATCTGCATCGAAACATGAGGCTGTTTCTTGTGCGTCCCTCTCTGACGCCGCCTCGGCATCTGCGCTCAGAGACTAACAATTCTCACGGCGTGGTGGCCCATGGATGGTGCACTGCGTACTTGGTGCAAAGTGCTCGCTCATCAGAAACCAACAGTAGAGTGCCTGTCCATCTATTCTCCATATGCGACATTGCTATGGCAGTCATTGGATCACCCGGCATAGCGGCATGTTTGTCTAAATTGACTGCCCTACACTACGATGCCATCCAGGACTGGGATGCAGTCACCGCATTGCAAGTTGAATTGCCCGCACCCATCCATCCGCAGCCAAACTTAGCACACCCCTCATTCGGGTGTCATTGAAAGTCTCCGTACCTTATATGAGGGAAACTTACGGATAAACACGGACAGATGCTATTCATAAGACTTGACATTGGATAATTATCCTTTCCAGTCACGCACTTCGTCATCGGCATCTCAACGTGGCCTCTCACACACACATACTTTTCTCTTTTGGTTGGTCCACGGACCACTCAGTCAGTCACTTTCTCTCCGGCAGTCACAAGTGACAAGTTGACAAAATAAATGAATTTGTTCTACCGCAACTCACCTGTAGGGCAGACACTGGCAGGTTTGTCGACATTCCCTTCCTTGAGATTCGAAAGTATCCTCCCCCGCCTTCCGTGGGTGCCGAGCCGCACCAAAACATTGAAACTCACACCACTTTCCTGCCAAGATGTGGAGAGAGTAATAAAAACGCTTCACCTGTTTTCGTAACGACAGCACAATTAAAGGGAGAGGGCAGATTTTGTTCGTACAGGAAAAAATCTCCAGAGAGCCAGGGGGTTAGTACAGAAGGGGGGTCTAGTTTCCAGAGGAGGGGGACTTTGCTCTTTTTTGCTCGTCAAGCCGTGATCATTTGGGAATCCCAGGCCGTTGTTGCCTCTTGGTGAATTTCCATGTCCTGGGCCCACGTCCCTTGAAACTCGCTAGTAAGCAGGCGCAATTTCACCCACGTCTCAGCCCTTTCCCTCTTGGTCGCCCTTTCCCCCTGACGGCATACTATGTACGATACGTACCGAAAAGGTGTGGCCCTCCAGCTGTACGTACCCTTCCGTCCGCTTTAATCGTGGGCTTGAGCCACTCACACAGCACACATGCCACCCACCCCGTGACTGAAACCAATCAAAGGTGTGGCTGTCGGCTTCACCTTACTGTACACGATACGTACCCTCAAACCTCTTTTTTCATCCTTCTTTCTTCCCACACCCGGGACTTCGTCACCCCTCCATTTTCCTCCTCCATTTTCCACCACTCACCTCTCTTCCCGACGACATCTCTCAAAAACTCAGACAGACGCACGCTGCGAACAGACAGCCGACCATCCACACCCTCCCCTTCCCTTCCTCTGACCGACGGGACGAACATGGATTGCAAGAAACAACAGAGGGGCCCTAATGCAGGAAACCTTATTTGTTTCTTAACAGATCTCTGCTGAAACTGAATCTGGCTTGCACCATGCCACCATGCCACCATGCCACCATCTCCAACGGGGCGTTTCCGCTTCCAGGCACTCCCCTCCAAACGGTCTCTACTACCTACTCCCGAGTCTCTACGGAGTGCCTTACAGAATATGGATACACTACCGTACCGTCTGGCGTTAACCCCGCTCATCACGCGCGCTCTTTCAGGTCCATGGCCCTTTAATCGTCGTCCATTGAGCTTCCCTCACCCCATTCTGCTACTGTCGCCCGCCAAAAGTTATAGCCGAGAGTCTGGGCGGCTGGGCCACACCACACAGAGTTCGACATGTCTGAGCCAAAACTCGGTCTCGGGCCCCCTCCAGCGTCTACCCTTATCAGGAATAGGATTCGTCTGACCTTTTCGCCCTACCAGCCTGTCAAACCAGACTACTGGCACGCTGCCTAACCTGACGGACGGGTCCACCGAGTCATATACCGTCCTCTACTAGCCACCACGATTCACAGATCGTAATTTACATCCTACAGGAGCAGAAACATTCTCGCCGCCGCAGCACTAACAGAAACAGGCTGTTCCTTGGGCAGCTTACTGAAATTGAGAAAGCCGAGCCACCATCGGCGCCATGGAGATCGAAACACAGCCCGCCGCCGCCGCGGGCTGCTCGTGGCCCCCAATTCTCCGTGGCAAAACCATGAGTTGCGGCCGTCCGCTCCGGGACTTTTCATTCTCCTTGCGCGTTGCGCACAATGAACATCGTCCGGCCGCCCGTTTGGCCCCCGTCCCGCAAGCTCTAGCAAAGCCACGATACTGAGCGGAGATAAACCATGATTGATTACCCTCTCGAGCGTCAACCCCGGCACCAATTAAGTTCCGCCATCCAGGCTCCAGCGTGTAACCTGGCGGCCCTACCAATCGATGTCCCTGATCGCCCAAAATCCCCCCCGGCATGTAAGAGCCTCCATCCAGCCAAGAAGGCTCAGAAACAAAGGGACTTGCCCCTCCATAAGACCAAGAAGTGGAAGCAACATATCACGGGGCGGATGCTCATCATCCGGTTCAACAACGGCCAGGAAACTTTTGGCCGGCATTGTGGGAAAAGAGCAGGAAGACTCAATATCGGGATACCTGGGGTATTGAAGGGATCGCCCGCATCCCGCGAGTCCAGAAGCGCCCGCACCCAGACCTAACCGGTGGGAAATGCAGACCAAGAAGGTCTCCGATTCTTCCAGGAGGAATCGCCAAACGTCACGCCCCCTGTCTGCCACTCTGCCATCTCATCTCCAATCTGGTGATGGCGGTGATGATCTTCGGGAAGGCCATCAACCGAAGGCAAATGTTGACGGGCGCAAGTGTGGTTGGTGGAGTTAAGATGTCATAGAGGAGGCACAAACGGCCGCATTAATCGAACCCGTGGTTGGTTCGGATTCGCGTCAAGATCCGCCTACCATGCCTGGTGCTGGGACCGCACCGGACTCGACTAGATGAACAGTAACGCCCGGTTCCCTGACAGAAGCTTGGCGATACTCTTTTCGTCTGATCTCTCGACCGATGGATTGGGGCGGCCCCACACTCAACGGTCCTGCAACAGTACACTACGAATACAAGTGATCCACGGAGGACGGAGGCTAAGAAGAGCGAGATTACAGGTCCCGGCTTTGACACTGTCCGCTGCATACACCGTTCAAGTCAAATCCCTAGTGTAATAGGCCAGTTCATCTGTCGGACAGCCGGATACTACAACTGCTTATCGACAAATAGATTCGGGAAAGCATACTAATCACCATTCGGAGGGTTACACAGATCCCGCAATTATTCAAGGAATTGTCCGACATGGTGCAGAAAAGATGCCTAGGAAATGGAACCTCGCCATACCCAGCTTGTTCCGCGTGTCTCGCATTACTCGGCCGAGTAAATACGTGGAGGTTGGCCGGCCCAGCCTTGTGGGCCAGTGCTCCTGCTTTCCACCAGGGCGTCCCATGCGACGTTCTCTCCCTTTTGCTTCAAACCAAGAGCCCCGAAATACATAGGGGGTGAGCCTCTGCCCTTTGAAGCAGGTGGAATTGCAACAGAGATTTCGAGCAGCGGCCCCAATTGTTCATGACGCCACGGATCATCGTTAGATCGTCTGGTCGTCGGCCGTCTCAGCAACTCGCATGAATCCTCATCGTCCAATGTCTTGGAAGCGGCACTTTGAGAGAAAACATCGACAGAATCGACAAACTTGCTCGCGACGGGCACTAGCCAGCGTTCCGATTCACGGCTTGGCCGAGCCCAGGGCCACCCTGCGCGAAGACGTTGGGGTGAACGTGTCTTCAGTCATATGTTGCTCAAGAGCCGCGAGTCTCAAACAATTGGTGCCGGAACCCTGTGACCAACATCGTTTCATAGCTGGGGTCTCTCAACCCGACCTGCCAAGGAGGCATAAAGTCTGTCCATGTTCGGAACGAACATGCACGTCCTGGCAAGGAATGGATGGCTTCACGGAGTCTGATTGCCCTACGCGCATGAAAGCGAGAGACCGGATGGCAGTAGACGTAGCCGGGTCAGGGCTCATGAGGCCGTTTTAGGTTACCTGTCGACAACATGAAGCTAAACGACAGCATCGAGCTTGGCATGAACTTGGGGCTCATCTTTTTTGGTGGTCATGGGGCTCATCCTCACGCCTGGTGCGATCTGGGGTCATTGCCAGGGTCGGGCGAGCCACCTTGTTTCGTCGCCTTTTTTTCGGTGTTTGAAACAATTCTTGTCTTGGGAGAATAGCAGCATCGCTTTTGTTTTGGCGGTCAAGCTGCCCAGGTACCGCTTACGTGGGTGCGCGGAATACGCGGCCAATTGCACAGAATGTGCCGGCGGTCAGCCTCATCAGCCTATCTATATCTCTCTTTCGTTATCGTGACGAGCACTCACGGGTTCATTCACGATGCGACTCTCGTGGAGCAGCAAGTGGAGAGTGGTGATAGCGATGGACCGCGGCATCTCGGTCACCCTTGTCTCCCCGTCCCGATCTGGCCACGGCCAAGTGGAACCCTAAGCGCCCGGAACCGATGACAACCGTGCACTTCTGAGGCAGCTCGGTCTCCAGGATCCCGGTACCCCGGCACCGACCCTCTCCCGATGTGACCTGGGAAAAGTCGGGCCTTCGGTCCGCTGCCGTGGAGTTACTGGCTCCCGTTCCCCGTCCCGGATGATTACGAAAGCTGGCCAGGCCGCAGGGTCCGCACCTCGGCATCATCGGAGGGCCACCGCCGCGCGGAAACTTCGGCGTGCTGAGCAAAACATTTCCGCGGAGTCGTCCGTTGCATCATCTCCAATTGAACACCATGGTATCTCGACCGTATGTTCTAGCGTAAAGCGTTTTCGATCTCAACTAGACCGAGTTCTTCATAGAACAAAACATCAAAACTCGAATGGACGCCCAGGTGTCTTTTCAGACAGAGCCTCGAGCGCAAGCTGACTCTCCAATTCTGACGTGAAGGCTGAGACAACGGGCCAGCATCGCGCACTGTTGGACCACGAACACGTCTGTGAGCGGTCCGACGCACAGAGAGGGAGGCGTCATCACAAGTTGAAGATGGAGTAGAAGCTACCGGTCTGGATGAACTCGCCATGGTAGAGCGGCCGCTGAGGGGTAGAGACATGGTATTATCACAAGGACTGGAGACAATGACTAAGCCACGAAATACTATGGATGGATTTTGCGCAGCCGGCATCTAGTCAGGCAAAGCGATCTAGATGCATTCCGCATTGCTATAACCATGTCATCTGGTTTCCAAATGCCAACCTAATCGACTCGAGATTCAAGACTCAAGACGGGCGGAAAGGTACATGCATCGTTGAGGTACTGTACGTACCGCGCAGAGTCCCATGTTGTAGTAGGTGTCCACCAGCGGTACCACTAACAGGAGGTACATAAAGCGAGGATCAAGTACTTGGACCATGCAGGCGGTACATGGAGTACATGTAATGTAGTTCAGAAAAACTGCCAAGAGAACAATTGCGACGAGTACCTACGCACTTTTGATTTTACCTTTGACCTTGAACGCAGCACAGGTCGCATTTAATAACACTGCCAGAACAAGAAGCTCAAGTGAAGATGGAGGTTGGTGGAGGGGACGAGGCTGAGAGATTATGCGATAAACTTTTCAACTTGTGTTTCCCGTCCTCTCGTGTTTCCCCTCCAGCTCCCGTCAATGGTCAACCAGTCGTTGGAGCACCTTACTTGCTGCCTCGCCCGTTGGCCATTCAGTCAGGCAAACAAGATGAAATAAAAGTGGCTCAGAGGGGTTGCCATTTGCCTGGCACACCTGGTTGAAGGTTGGATGAGGGAAGTGGCTGAGATGAGGTGCGGTGAGGTGATGTGGGTTTCCCCGCAAGAAGAAACGCTTGTGACCAGTGACCTCAGTCATCAACTTCAGGCAAAGCGCGGCAGCGAGCGACACGACACACGGCAGGAGCGCATGGCCGAAGGGTCCGAGGCGAGCGAGCTGTCAGATCTGACCGACAAACTCGGTGTGTCCACCGCGTACATAGTAAGGAAGCTGTCTTTCTGGCTAATAACCTATCTGGGTACAACGAGATACGAGAAGCAGCAGCACACGGGCGTGGTTCACAATCGCATCGGATCGTATCGCTGGCAGAGGAAAGTAGAAAGTACTTCTCCGTCGTACGTACCTGCTTGGAACTTGCCTCTGGATGGGATGACCTGATAGATTGAGGTGAGGTGAACAACTGGCAGCTGCCCGGATGGACGAGGAAAAGTGGAACAGGGACAAGGCACGGAGCAGCCACTGAGCATTGAGCCATGACGAAGTGTCGAGTGACAAGTAAAAGTGATCCGTGCAGAGCGAGGGGAAGACGGTCTGTGCCGGTGGTTGAATGTCGATGACCGAGGCAAAAAGATAGAAAATTGGAAGGTGCCTTCCTGCCAAACCGTGCTGTTTTGGCTGCAAAGGTGGAAGCAGCGCAGCTTGCCGGTTAATAGTCGGAGTGTTATCGTCACTTTCTGCCTGACCGAGGACCCGCTGAAATGGCGTCGAGTGGTCCCTCCTTTCCCCCCGCCTGCCTCCCTCGTTTCTTTTCCATGTTCCCTCGCCCTCCCCCTCCCCCTTAGCAATTTTCTCTCCTGACCCCTTCCACCACCCACTTTCTCCCAGCAGAAAAAAAAAAGAGGGCGACCAGAAACATCACCGTGAACTGGGAAGTTACTTCCATCAGAGGTACATACTTGGGTCATCGCGAGCCAGAGCATCCCAACTCCCATTTTTCAAGTCCCAAGTTCCCAAACCAACCTGCACTACACTACGGATACCCAACCCGACATCATCAGCTCAAGGTGTGCACCAGCTCAAGCTCCACCTCCACACTTTTGCTTCAGGTCCTTGCCGCTACAGCAAACCAAAGTATCCGTACAGCTACATACAAAGCTACAGCTGCGAATACACGGTACCCGACTACGCACCCAGCCAGGTACCTCGCAACTCTGACGGATACATCACCTCACGCGCTTCACCTCAACCTCACCTCAAAGAATACCTACCTACCCAGACCGAAAAGTTCTGAGAGCTTCAAGGTCAACGAAAATCCCAAGGTGAGCAGACACCAAAGCTACAGACGCGCTGCCGCCGCCCACACTATTGTCGCGCATCTATCCACACCTACACCACTTTGACGTTGCCGCAACCGCAAGGGAACGGACATCTCCACCATCGTCGCCCGTCATTGTTAATCACCTCACCTCACCTCACCTCACACCTCATCATCGCTCACAGAGCTTTCCATCTGGCATTGTCGCTGTCGCTGTCGCCATAGCTGCGGTCGTCACCACATTTGCCTCACTTGCGCGCTGCCAATCCCACGCACCTCCATCTCTTTCCGCCTTTGCCACCAAGTATTACACACGCATCACTCACTGGGCCTATCTCATCAACGTCCACCACTTTTCTAATTCTTTGCCTTTCCTGCAGACGTTGGCTACGTCTTACCTCATTGTACACGCATACACACCGAATCGCGTCGCAATAAGGTACTCCGTATCCGAAGCTTCCTATCTGTCTTTGCTCCATCTCTCACTTTCTCTCTCTCTCTCTTTCGCGCGCGCCATCGCCTGTCCAGAAACTGGTTCGAGACAGCTTTCATTGCTCTTCTCGCTCTCTATTACCTATTCCTAGCTGTCTCCGCCCGTACGGATAAACGCACCCAATTTAGGATCGCCGTCCATTGTTGATTGACCCTTGATCTGAGGAACCGCCACCGACCACCAGCTGGACCCAACTCATACGCGCGAACCAACAAGCAACGCACGGCACATCTCGCGCACTGCCTCCAGCTGCCTGTCTACTCGTGTCTACTTGCGCCTGTCTATCTGAACCTCGACGTCCTTCACGAATACATCACGCTACCTCGTTCTGGCTCCGCCGCTACTTGTCACTACCTGCCTACCAGACCTTATCTCGCGATATACCACACACACCTCACTTTACCTACCTGGTCTGCTTTATTTGGACTCCTTGACCTGATTACCTTGTACCAGGAAAGAGCAAGGGCACCGCAACTTTCGGTACCTTCCGTATATTTTTTTATATTTTTTGAGCCTTCCACCGCTTCCTGCCTTCCGGGGTGCCGTCATTCGCACTTTGTTCCCCACATCGAAAGGGAAATCACCCATTCCTTCCCGCCAACGAATACCGCGCGCCGCGTCGCTCTATGCCGCAGCAGCGCACCTTCCTTCACCTGACGTCCAATTACCTGACGATTACACCTTTCACCTGCTTGCACACCTGAGCCTTCCAGGTTTTGCCAGCCTCTCCTCTCCAGTCTCCAGCTCCGGCCGTTCCCTGCCGTCCATTACGAAGATCCACCTGGTTTTCGCCGTTATCGTTGCTCACCTCACTGATTGCTGCACTGCCGCTTGAGGTGCTCATTTTTGTTTTTATTTTGTTTCCTCTTACTTTCCGTGTCGCGTCCCGTACGTCGCTTTCGGTCGCCCGCACCACACGTATTGGCACCGCCCGCGCGCACACACTGAACGAGAGTCCTGGACCAAGACCAAGACCAAGACCAACACAGTACCTGCCTTCCTTACCTTACCTTACGCAACGCACCTGCCACCCGACCCCAACCAGCCAGCCAACCAGCCCAGCCAGGTCAATTGGAACCACAAGGCAGGCACGCCGCACCGCCGCACCACACAACCCGGCAGTAACCACCCCCAGAAAAAAGAGTACTTGAAGCAAACACGTCCTCGGCCTCGCGCGCCTTGTATCTTTGTCCCCTTTATTCTCGCCTCTACCTCGCACCATCCCTCCCTCCCCCCTTCCACCTTCCCCCCTCCCACTGCCACTCCCACTCCCACTCCTTCCCATCCTTTTCTACTGCGTCACTTCGTCACCTCACCTCATCCCTCCCATCCATCCGTCATCCCCCCCCCCCCCAAAAAGCCCAAAAAAAGCCCTTCCCAACCCCGGGCGTGTGCGTGACCCGCTTCCTGTCTTTTGCGACTCAGGCTTGGTCCAAGTCTCTCTTCCACCCCCCGAGAGAGCAGAGACCAAATATTCCCCATCCATCAACCCGTCGGTTTATGCATCGTTGTTGAGTTAATACTACCACTACATTGCCCGTAAGTACCTGCACC